AATGGAGAGGAAATGTTTTGAGAATGATGAGGGCAATGAATGTACAAATGTGCTTTACACAATTGATGTATGTATGGATGGTGATAAGAGTTGTATGAGCCCCTAATAAAACGATTAAAAAAAAGAAAAAAAATTCTATATGGCCATCCATTTGTCCTAAATTATTCTCTGCCTCAGAATAAAACTCTGCTTTCAGCTTGCTTACCCACTCTACCTTTGCTCCACAATCTACTCAGGTCCTACGCAGACCAACACCTTCCGGGCGTAAAAAACACCTCTTCTGGACACCCATCCCCTAACCTCTCCCCAGGAGACCGGGTCCTAGTGAAAACTCGTCCCGTGCCTGGCCCTGGACTCCAGACATGGTGGAAAGGTCCATACGCCATAATACTCACCACCCCATCGGCAGTCAAACTGGTGTTGGCTTCCGTAAACACGGAAATGCAGTCACCCAGCCACCGATGGCAGTTCATAGTTACCGAAACCTAGGCTGATAATTCAGAAACCCATTCTCAGGTAATAGATCTATCATGCTTACGTACGCACTGGCTGGCCGATCAAACCCGGCTAATCCAGAGAGCCAACGAAAACTTCAAAAACAAGTTACAGGGCAAAGGTCCAAGGAAAAACCTTTTTCTTGGCTCACCGCTATCCAAGAAGGGGAGGCCCTTCTTAACAATTCCAACCTGGTTAATCTTCCCCTTGTTTCCTTTGTGCTGCCTCCACAGGTCTCCTCTGGCAGCAATACCTTTACCTCAACTGCTTAACTACATGGGAAAAACAGATGCCTTTCCACCAGTATTTAGAGTTCCCCTGTTCCACAGCCCACTGCTAAAAAGGGGCGGTTTTGCTATCCTGGCCCGGGACAAGGTTGTAACAACACCGCACATAACCTCATTTTTCCCCTCAATGCCTCCCCAGGTGGATTCTTGTGGTGCAATGGCACCCTGACAAAAAAACCTTTCTGCTCCTTCCCCATCCCATCTATGTATGCCGGTCACCCTGGTTCCCCAGCTAACTATGTACACAGTCCCTGAGGTAAACGCTCTGCAAAACCCCTCCCATGGCACCACCAGACACACACGGGCAGTGTTCCTCCCTGTCATGGTTGCTTTAGTGGTAGCCTCTTCCTTGGTTGGCTCAGGAATGGGGGCAGAGCCCTATCCCACTCTCTGAGCTCTGCACAAAGCTGGTCCTCCACACTGCAAGCGGCAATTAAAAAACACTGCATTATCTTAAAATCTCTTACAGCACCAAATAACATCCCTAGCCCAAGGAGCCTTACAAAACCGAAATGCCCTAGCCCTCTTAATGGCTGATAAAGGGGGAACGTGTATATTCCTGAATAAGAAGTGTTGCTATTATGTTAACGAATCCGGGTTGGTGGAAACCAGTATAAACAAACTGCGTAAGTTGGGGGGAAAAGCTATCCGGTCAGACCCCCGGTGTCCAACAAGAGGTTGGTGATCTAATCCATTCATCGGTGGATTGCTCCCTTAATAACCTCTCTTATAACCATCTGCAGTCTGCTACTTCTGGCGTTCTGTTTGCTGAACTTTCTTCCCAACCGAATGCAAGAAATTTCTCGTGTTGCCGTTAATCAAATGTTATTGTATCCTTACAGTCCTCTCCCACAGGAGCCAGACATTCCCAAATCTTAAGCCCCTCCCACGCCATCCCAGTACCGGCAGGAAGTAGCCAGAAGAGTCGTTGCCCGTATCACCAAAGAGTTGGGAATGTATGGCCAGATCAATACCAGGCCGGCTTCTAGCAGCAAGTGACCTTGAATCTCCCCTACCCGTGCGGAGCTGACCAGAGCTGGCTGAAACAGCTAGCAGCAAGTGGCTTTGAATCTCACACACTCACCTGCGGAGCTGACCAGAGCTGGCTATGTAACCTGTCAGCAGCTTTGCAAGTTTTTTTCTTTCTTTTACTCACGGCCCATTTGGCTCAGTGCCCGCTTTGTTCTTGACCCACTGCTCTGCACCCGGCACGAATACACCCAGAACCAGGAAGACTCTTTACATTCCAGAAACCCGGACATACCTGCATCTCCCAATCCCTAACTACTTTACCTTATATGAACTCTGTTGGGAGCCGGTGGCCATTAAGGCCTTAGCCTCAGCCACGGAGCAGAACTTGGCTGCTTCCTGGTTGTTAAGTTTCGTCTTTCATTTGCTAAACCTGTGGGGGGCTGGCCCTGCCTAATTCCTGCCCAACCCTACCTCCACGTTCCTAGCTACGTGTAGCACCTGCGGTTGTAAGAGTTGACCTTTTCACCCATTGGTTAATAATGCCGAGCGCTCATTGGACTAAGATGGACTTTGCATTACGCCGGATGAACCTTAGTCTGCATGCAGGACGTCTTTGAGAACTAGCGCGCGCCTTTTTACCTGCAGCTGATTGGTTAACGTTCTTATGCTTCATTAATGTACATGTTGGATTGGATGTTGTGTAGCACACCTTATTAAAATATGCACCTCCCAGTTCCCCTTTATATGCCCCGAGCTTTGCCCAAATAAATGGAGCTTGATCAGTGTTTGTCTTGCTCCACGTCTCCGTGTCTTTTCTTCCACCCAGGTCTGCCTTTCCCTGCAGGGCCCTGCTCGTGCGTCCCGCAGGCCGGGACGCTACAGAACTCAAGACAGCCCACTCACATATTCTCTGGCCATATAGCACCACCCCTGTAGCCTGGGGCGCAACGCCCTCGGCCCAGACACTGTGGACTGTGGGACTTCGCCCAGGCTGGGTTTTTCTCCCCAATAAAGCCTGTTTGCTCTAATTCGACTGATTTGGTCTCTGGCGCCTCTCAACTACCTTACACTGGTCAGATCCTAGCAAGGAGAGTGTGGAGAAGCAGAGGGCAGTCCGAGTTTGAGACAAAGACGGAGGCAGCCGGCCCTGCAAAGGGAGATGGGTCTTGAGTGGGATGGGAAAGGGCCAGTAGCAGAAAGCAGGTGGGAGGGGCCCCAGCCTTCTGACCAAACAGCAGGGAAAGGTGGCCTGCAGGAACGGGAAGATGGGCTTCCTGAAGTGTGTGCAGACTGCAGAGCTGAGGCAGCGCAGCCCCTCTCGACAGCTCCATCCTAGGCAGGCGCTGTTGTGCCAGGACTGAGGAAGAAAGCCAGGGAAGCTCACAGCACTGCAATGACATTGGAGGGTGGAGGGCACATGCTTAGACCACAGGAACTAGAACCAAGGGAAGGCTGGGATGCAGGGGAGGGTCCCTTGCAGTAGTCATGGGTGCATTTAAGAATGGATGTTGAGGGTCTATCTGGAGCCAGGCCCTGGCATCTGGTCAGACACATCTTTCCTGATGTTGTTCGAATGCAACGTCTGACTTGGGAGGTCTGAGGCAGAGCCTGAGGTGACTCATCTCTGTAGCTTCTGCCGGCCACACTGCAGAGACCCGAGGTGCCTCAAGGTGGACTCTCTCTTCAAACCCTCGCTCCAGTGCAGTCTGTAAGTTTTCCTGGGCTAGAAAGCTGAGGCTTTTAAGGCGTTGTGACTTGCCTGAGAGTACCCTAGACAATGGGAGCTCAACTGTCTTCTGGGGGGTGGGGGTGGTAAATAACCCAAATCAGGGCTGCCTCAAACCACCTCCCGCTCTGTCCCAGGATGTGGTCCCCAGTTTGTACATCCAGACCTTCCTGCCGTTGGCCGGCCTCCAGCCGGGAGCTTCTGCGCTGGCCTGCAGCCCGTCTAAAGATAGTCTACCTCACAGGAAACCAGAGGCTATTGGTCAACTTCGCAAGTGAGATGCCCTCAGAGGGTGCAAGAGGGAAGCACTAACCACTGGCAGAGGCTGCGTGAGGACTGGCTGATTGGCACCTCCCGGCCTCTGCTTTCCGGAGCCACCAAGGTAGGTACAGAGAGCTTGGTTCCGCATGCACCTGTGGTCGTGGGGGACATGGCGGTCAGCAGTCCATGATCAAAGCTGCTAATGAGGTTGGTTTTACCATACGTGCCCAAATTAAGAGACTGTTTAATGGAAGTGTTGAGTGTGATTGTATCACTTGTGATAAGCCTATGGCTTTTCCCAACCAGATTCACTGCCACTGAGGCACAATGCTGACTCACAGTGACTCCATGGGCAGGGAAAGCTGCACCCCTGTGAGGTTCCCAGACGGTAACTCTTTACAGGAGATGGCCCCATCATTCTCCCTCAGAGAGGCTGGGGTGGATTTGAACTGTTGGCTTTGCAGTTGGCAGCCCAACCCATAACCACGGTGTCACCAGCGCCCCACAGCCTATGACCAGGAGTGTTATTAATGACATCGGAGGGTTGAGGGTACATGATCATGATTCGACCTTAACTAGGGAGGGGGTGGGGAAGCATATAAAATTGCACCAGGACAATATAGAGGAATTATTCTTTTTTTAAGGTGAGAACTAAGGACTGAAGTTCTAGTTTAATAAGTAAGCGCCGTTGTCATTCAGAAACCCACGCTTAAGTGTGCATGGGTGAAGTGATTCAATGGGTGGGCTTCTTAGATAGAACTCGGGCATGGAGTGGAGAACGGACAGAGCCCCGTCAGGCATTGCTAACTGTGTAAACCAGATGATGGGCTTGTGGGGGTTCTCTCTGCTTCTGTCTGCTCTAAAATATAATAACAATTTTAAATGACTTTTGAGGTTTAAAATGATTAACAAAACATATGCATAAAGATCAGAAGGAGAAAGATGTAGGATTCCAGGTGGTAGAGTAACAAGTGGCATTTCCCCCCTTTGGGGCTACGCTTTTTGGGTGACATCCACATTTTTCACACCTGGAACCCTAACTGTCGCATCTATGTTTTCTATAATGAGCACATGTTGCAGCCCCAGTAGGAAGTGTTTTCATCCATACACTAGCAGCATGGATCTGATGTTCAATATTGATGTATGATGTCAAGGTCACTATGACCAGACTGACTTGTATTGAGTTGATTCAAAGCCACCCTAGAGGAGAGGGTGGAGTGGTCCCTGGGGGCTTCCAAGACTGTAACTCTTCATGAGAGTGGAAAGCCTCATCTTTGTCCCAAGGAGTGGCTGGTGATTTTGAACTGCTGACTGCCATATGCAGCTCAACTCGCAAACTACCGTGCCACCAGGCAGAGGAGCAGTTCGAGGTAGCGTTCAACTCCCAAGAATCGGTGACAGTCCCGGAAACCCACAGGGGGCAGGTCTGTAGTGCATGTCCTGTGGTGCATGCCATGCCTCGGCAGCCACGGGAATGCAGTGAGCTTGGATTGAGTCGCTGTGGTGAGGATGATCGGCTCAGAAGGCTTGTGCGCTTGGAAAGCACAGTTTTCAGAAAGAAATAAAGGGGGGCTACGTGTGATAGGGGCAAGACAGGAAGCAAGACAGTAACCTTTTGCAGCCGAATGCTTCCAGCCGACTGTGATTCTGCTGGGAGACAGAGCAGCGCTGTGGTCAGTTAGCCACCGAGTGCTTCATGCTGTGACACCAAGGTCCATCGGGGAGAAGGACCGTGGTGGCTTGGGCGGCATGACAGCCCCTCCGAGCCCTGCGAGAGGGCCCAGCTGAACCCAGAGGAACGCCAGGGAATCCGAGGCATTTCTTCTTCTTACAAAATACTGTTTGGGAGGGAAAATTTAACGTAGAAAAAAAAAAAAAGTTGAACCCAAAAAGGGAAAAGAGGAAGATGGGACAGTGTGAAAAGCGAGTAAGAAGACTTCCCAAGTGAGCCTCGGCGTGCAGGGACCGTCTGGGAATCTGAGAAGGGGCCTCCGGTGCTCGGGAGGGGCTGGGCTTCCGGGGGTGAGGGCAGGGCGGACAGGGGGCAGAGGCGGGGCAGTGGCGGGGCTTGTGGCTAGCTGCCGCCGCCTTCATTCCTGCTCAGGTGTTTCAGAAGAGGGCTGTGCCGGAGGGTTTTCAAAGCTGTGATCCTTTGGCAGCAGGCCGCCAGGCCTTTCTGCGGAGGGGCTTGGGGGGCTCAAACAGCCCCCCTCCTCTCTTCAGCCAGTCATCTCGTGCTTAACCGTTTACACCACTGGGCTCAGGACCACTCAGAAGAGATAGGGCTTGGGAAGGACCGAATGGAAACATGCCCTTTCTTTTCACAAAGGGAAGCAGAGCCGGACAGCGTCTTGTCCGCTTTCAGACTGACAGCTCTTAAACCAGCGGTTCTCAACCTGTGGTTCGTGACCCCTTTGGGGGTCCAACGACCCTTTCACAAGGATTGCTTAAGACCATTGGAAAACATGTATTTCCAAAGGTCTTAGGAACTGAGACACCGCTCCTCTATCGTCTCCAGGCAAGTCTGCCCACATGCAGATACGCCCAGAGACGAGTACCCAGCGGGAAGACTGTTACCCATGCTACATACTGCTTCAAGACAAAATTTCACTTATTTATCATTAGAAATAAATATTTCACAGTAGAGAATTACATATTTTCTTGGTGATTAATCACTCTGCTTTAATTGCGTTCAATTTGGCACAATGAAAATACATCCTGCCTATCAGATATTTACATGACAATTCATCACAGTAACAAAATGTGATGAAGTAGCAGCGAACATAATTTTATGGTTGAGTGGGTCACCACAACATGAGGAACTGTATGAAAGGAAACTGCATGAGGAAGGTTGCGAATCAGTCTTCAACCATGGGGAGCTCTGCCTAGGATGTCTCCTTCAATCCCACACCCCAACCCCGCTGGGAAATGAAGTCCTGGATCTGCACTTATTTGCACGTCACTTGGCCTTGCTAAGCCTCCGTTTCCTGTGCTTCCAACGGAGACTGGCCATTGAGTTGCAAAGGTAGAAGCCCTGGGATGGGTGCCTTTGGGATGTCTGTGAGGATGAAAGGCAACAAAGAGTTCCAAGTACTTAGCCTGGCCCATGGTTGGCGTCCAAGAAACAACACTGGCTGTGATGAGGGCGCAAAGGAGGCTCAGAAAGTCGAGGTTCCTTAAGAATACTCACGGCCTTTGAGTGATATTGTCAAGGGCCCAGGATGGTGGGTGTAAGGTGGTCGAGAGGCGCCAGAGACCAAATCAGTCCAATTAGAGCAAACAGGCTTTATTGGGGAGAAAAACCCAGCCTGGGCGAAGTCCCACCGTCCACAGTGTCCGGGCCGAGGGACTCGCACTCCAGGAGTGGTGTTTATATAGCCAGGAACATGTGACTGGGCGGTCTTGAGTACATATATAAGGTAAAGTAGTCAGGGATTGGGAGATACAGGTATGTCCGGGTTTCTGGAATGTAAGGTGTCTTCCTGGTTCTGGGTGTATCCGTGCTGGGTGCAGAGCAGGGGGCAGAGGTCGAGAACAAAGCGGGCACTGAGCCAAACAGGCCGTGAACAAAACGGGCCATGAGCAAAAGAAAGAAAAAAACTCACAAAGCTGCTTTACATAGCCAGCTCTGGTCAGCTCCGCAGGTGTGTGTGTGAGATTCAGGACCACTTGCTGCTAGCTGTTTCAGCCAGCTCTGGTCAGCTCCGCATGGGTGGGGGAGATTCATGGTCACTTGCTGCTAGAAGCCGGGCTGGGATTGATCGGGCCATACAGTGGGGAAAGACAGGGGGCTTGTGGTGGCGGACCTAGTCCAGAGTCAATGCTCATCTCCCTCCGCGACCCCTACGCTGGTGGGAGGGTGGAGTGGCATCCGTGGTCAGGGGTGTTCCTCCAAACCAAAAGGCCAGACCTCAAAGAACCTTCTCCTTGAGACCCAGAACCTCTCCAGGCCCAACCTCTGACCCGAACAGGATCCTCCTCTATCCCTCTAGAAAGCCTAACAGTATCAGAACCAGAACTCAAAGTGCAGTGTCCAGGTTAACAACTTTCTGTGCACTAATCTCCCACAAAACCACTCTCCACGCACAAGGAAGGAGCCTTGCCAGACCCCAGGAGACGTCCCGCACGTCCAATCCTGACCACAGCCCTGCCCCTCACCCCAACCCCAAGCAACCACAACCCTGCCGTTGTGGTCAACCCTCCGAAGAGTTGCATCCCTCTGTAACTTTCCTACTGAAACATGCATCCTTAAATAAGATGAAAGGGACCCTGGGGGCACACTGCTGATGCGCCCACCGGGGCAACTAGCCCAAAGGTCAGCCGTTTGAACCCACCAGCCACTCCATAGGCTAAAAGACCTGACACTCTGCTCCCTTAAAGATGACAGCTTTGGATGGCCCGAGGGGACCATTCTACACTGTCCTCTGGGGTCACTAGGAGTCAGCATCCATTCGATAGCTCACCACCACCACCACCAACACCAGGGTTCCGTTTCTGCCCATGATGCTCACATTCGTGGGTTCTTGCAGCAGGTCTGGGGTTTGCCTGGTGTCTTTTGCCCTTCCCCCCGCCCCACTCCCCCTCCCCTACCGCAGTGCTTTGAAAATGCAGCCCCCCCGGTGGGTGCATGAGCACTCAGGCATGTTCACGGGAGATGCAGGCCGCTGTGGGGAGGGAGGGAAGGCGCTGTGCCATTCCTTGCTGCACAGTTGTCCCGCAAATCTAAAAGCACAGGGTGAAACTGCCCTCCTTTGGGTCTTCCTGGTTGTGGTGTTTTAGGGAAACCTTTCTCCCCTGGTGCCGGTGGATGACCAGCAATCAAGCACCAACTGCTCCGAACAAGTCCATCCGCGGGCCTGTCGGAGGAAGAAGCCCTGGGCTGCCATCAGGAAAGTGCAGACCCACAAGTCCCTCCACGGGAGGAAGAGGAGATGGCGTGCTCCCAGAAGGTGTGACCGTCTCAGAAACCCTGGGGAGTGGCACCGCTCAGAACCCTCAGGAACCCTCGGGTCCCATCGACTGGATGACTCAGAATCAACTTGACGGCGGTGGGTTTCTAGAAGATATCACCACCACTACCACCACCGCCCCAAAACCAAAACCTTCTTTCTGTCAGTTCCA